TTACAATATAGAGTTGAGATTCATCGATTCATACAAATTTCTCAGTGCTAGTCTCGATAAATTAGCATTTCTTCATAAGGACAAGTTGAAAATATTACAATCAGAATTCAGAAATCTATCCGTCGAAAATTTTGAATTATTAGCGCGTAAAGGTGTCTTTCCATACGACTACGTAGACTGTGTCGACAAGTTTACGCAAGAGCAGCGGTTTCCACCGCGCGAGTCATTTTACAGTTCTCTGACCAGTGAAACAATATCTGAGAGTGAATATGCACACGCTGTAAACATGTAGCAACGATTTTCTATATGTACGTTAGATGACTACAGCGATTTATATTTAAAAACTGATGTTTTATTATTAGCAGATATATTTGAGAATTTTCGAGAAAGTTGTATCCGAAGTTCCGAATTAGATCTCGCGCATTATTATACTTTACCTGGTTACACGTGGGACGCTAAAACACACAGGCATAACGTTCGACCTGCTCACAGATGTTGATATGGTTATGTTTATCGAACGCGGTATACGCGGTGGTCTTAGCCAGTGCAGCGCAAGATATGCGCACGCTAATAACAAGTACAGTCGGCGTTAATGAATCGTTTTGTAGCCCCGGGAGCTAAGGGTAAGCGAGACGGTATTCCCTAGCAGTAAGTACTGCCAACGGACGCCACACTAACTAACTGTAGCAGATTTCGATGAATTGACCAATTACAGTATTTACTGCTAGGGAATACCGTCCCTCTTACCCCTAGCTCCCCGCGTCCACGAAACGATTCATTGACGCCGACTGTACATGCAGACGTACGATTCATCAAAACCAACGTCATATTTCATGTACTTTGATATAAATAACTTGTACGGCTGGACAATGTTTCAGCCATTACCGTATGCCGTATTCCAATGGGTAGACAACGTCTGGAGTGTCGACGTGATGTCTGCGGCATCAACCTCAAATATCGGTTATATCCTTGAAGTCGACCTCGAGTCAACGTGAAGAATGCTGGTTGAAATATGAAACAACATGCGGACGTAGATAGTTACTTTAGTTTCTGCGTANCACTCAGCATGTTATTAGGATTTTGCGAAGACTACAAACGTACGATTATCAATGCTCGTTATGAACTAATTTTAATACGATCGCGCAACGACAAAAACTGCATAACAGCAGTTTCTCAGGTAGATCGTGAGGCATTGAATGGAAACATTGAATTATTCAAAGTGTAATGGCGAATGCCACATGTAGTGTTAAACGATGTCACGAAGCTTTCGTTACTACGAACTCTAGAAAGCGGACGGTATTTGACCATGAGTTTTCGTTCATGGGATCTCTATGAGTTTCCATTATTACAAAGCACGACTAAACATTCGTTGGCCGTAAAAACGGCGATACAACTAGAGAAACCGAGATACGTTATATTTGCGCTACAGACTGCTCGGAAAAAAGATATGTCAGCAGATGTCACGCAATTCAATCACTGTCAGTTGACCAACGTAAAACTTTATCTCAACTCTGAATTCTATCCTTATGACGACTTGCATTTAGATTTTGATAGAAAAAAATATGCC